TGCTGAACCCAGCTTTTTACATCAGTTTTGGTGTTGTTTTAATGGATTTCCACAGATTCTTTTTTAAAGGTTTGGTGGATTTTTAGTATGCTCACTGAGGTCCTTTTTAACATCTCTGTCATTCAAATACCCCTTGCCTGGAATCTGCAGCTCGGCCGTGGCAACCTAACGGCTGTGCTGTCCTCGATCCCTGCTGCTAATGGGGGTCTCCCCACCAAGAGGCCCCGAGTCCACAGGGAGCGAGCGGGGCAGTTGCCCATTTTGCAACACTGCTAATGCAACCAGCCGCTGCTCTTCCTATGGGAGCCAAACGAGTGCCGCTTTGCAAAGATGGAAAGGCCAAGCAGGAGCATGTGTGCATGCCATGTGCACACACGTGCACGGCGTGTGCAAGGCATGTGCACACACGTGCATGCACTGACTCACCCATAGCCAGTGGCGCCAGGAGGGGAAGCCCAGATGGGACGGTGGGCTGCGCAGCACTGTGCGCACACTTACCTCCTCATGTGCGCTGCCACGCTGCAGCATCGAAGGGAAGAAAGCTCTGCAGGTGCTGGAGCAGAACGGAGACGCTGTAAAAGAGGGTAAGATTTTGAAAAGGGATTGAGGAAAAAAACAAAGGAAAAGTCTCACAGTTGAAAGAAACACTAAAGGGAGGAAGGAAGAGGTGAGCAAGGAGGATGCTGGCTGCTTTCTCCTGCTTAGCAAACTGAGCAAATGAATGACTTCGGCAGCGCTTTCACTGGTTTCAGACAGTTCTGAAATCCAAGTTTTCAACTGTTGGACAGTTCAGAGCAGATTTTGAAAGGCTCTTAAGTGCCTTTTAACAGGGTTAAAACTCTTCTCTGCACACCTTCATCCTTTGGGATGTCTGATTCACCTCTGTTTTATTTTTGAAATATTCACAGGTTTGTCTTTCAATACAGGTACCAACATGGCTCCTATCTCCATGGTAACTACGTTCTCCCAAACACTGAAGAAGTCACCACTGCAACAAACACTCCAGGGCAGCAGGGAAGGTTTCTCCCCATTTTCTAGGAAGGAAAACAAAAACAACAAAATAAGAAAGAAGTTAAACCACTGGCCTCAAAATCAGACATGCCTGGAACAGATGGGGAGGGAGCTTAAATGTCCCCAAACCGGAGGCCGTGCCAGGATGCTGTGGCAGGGCCCGCAGTTTGCAGCGCCAGACGCGTCTGGCCGGGGCACCAGGTGCTCTGCGGCTCTGTGCACACACTGCCACGATACCTAGGGAAGATTTTGCTGACTGTAACTACGTCCAAATACATACAACTCAGATTCTTAAGAAAATCTTAAAGCACAAACGCAACACAGCGCTTCCTCATTGGGGAAAGATACTTCCCTAAAATGAATGTCAGATGCCAAGGAGAAATCGCCCTTTTAAAGAAGTGAGAGTTGGGAAAGTGTGGAACAGGCAGAAGGAAGAGAAACCAACCGCATGTACGAACTAAGTGCATTACAACGCTGCCTATGAAACAGTAAAGAGATTTAAAACATTCTGACTGTGGCAGGGACAGAGCGAAGTCTTTCATAATAACAAGAGACCTAAGCCCGCACAGAGTTAATTCCCAAGCACTCTAACCTTGGCTAGGGTCAAGGATTTGCCCCAGTTACCCAGGCGGACCTCTTCTAATGAGGTTTTTGTCACACGCAGTGGCCCTGCTCGGCTACGCTAGAGGCTCTGGGCAGACATGGGCAAAACTGAGGGCAATCTCCCGAGCAGACGAGGCCAGCAGTCGTCACCACAAGAGACAGCACTTACTGAAGGCAACTGTCTCCCCCTCAGTTGAGCTGCAGCCACAAGACGAAAGGACAGAAAGAGGAAAGGCTACTGAGATGTTTTCCTCTCTCTTCTGCAAGGCCGCAGAGCCCTGTTTGTGGGAAGATCCGGGGGCACCTGACACCTGCTGCAGGCACGTCTCCAACCCGTCCCCACGGACACGGCTCGTCCCCGCC